TCGTCACAAATGTTGATATCAGAACTTTTGTATGTTGAAGGTGCGTTCGTCACTAGTTTTTTACCTCGTTAAGAGGTGTTTTTATTTGATATCATATAGCTGCCATAGGAACGATCGGAAAATTAATGGAAAAGTAATAGGAAATAAATTCTAGCTTCTTTGGTTTTTATTGTATTATCTTCTTTTTAAATATTTCCGAATTTCAATTTTAATTTGATCAAAATCGGACGACTATATCATATAGCTGCCATAGGAACGATCCGAAAATTAATGAGAAATATTATAAAATTGAACATTTTTTCGATTTGTTAATTAATAGGAATGATCTGCAAGGGTATTTAAGCTTCGGCTGGCCGAAGCTAGCTTCCTTTCTTGTTTTTTCGATGGCACAATTTTTTTTTAAAGATTTTTTAAAGTTTGAAATGTTAAATTTCGGACTTTTTTCGAATTTCTTCCTTTATCTCGGCAGATATCCACCCGATTGGGTCAGTTTTAGTTTTATTTTAAAGTTAATAGATCAGAGCTTAACTTTGCCATACAGATCAATATGATTGGATAAGTAATGGCAGCGCAGAAACTTGACAAAGATGAAAAATGTGTTTTTTGGTCGACTGTAAGTCGGCTGTATATATCGTAAAAACTCGAAATAAATCCGTTGAAAAATCATAATGGGTACAAACTTAAAGTTTACATCCTACCGAATAAAACAAGCCGGATATGGCCCAAATCCATGGAAAACTGGATTTATGGTGGATTTTAAAAGTTCGGATTTTTACACTTTTTTCGGTTGACAAAGTCCAAATTTAAGATTTATCATAGGCGGCGACATGTAAACAAAAATAATTGGTGTTGGCAGCCGGGTCACTAAATAGCTAAATCAGATATTTAAAAGCTAGAAAATTATTAAAGTGAATTTAATTTTTGAAATTAAGGATACTTTATTCATAAGAATGAACTATCCAAATGGATAGTACTTAATTAAAAATACTCACAGTCATAACGCAAGCAATTTTATATTTTTAAAGGAATTTTCAGAAATTGAATTTATTTTATAATTTTCTAGCTTTTAAATTTAGCTATTTTTTGACCCTGCTGCCGTCACCACTCATTTTTGTTTACATGTCGCCATATCTTCGCTTCTGTCAAATTAATTTTTTTTTAACTTTTTTTAAAAATCCTTTTTAAATGGTGTGATAGTGTTATAAAAATTAGATATCGTTTTAGACCAGGGGTGCTCAGTCCTATGGCACACGAGCACAATTGTTTTTGTAATAGCACTAAGCATTCGGCAATGCACTCGCAATGCTTGCCTATGCACACCCCGAGTCCTCTTTGTCGCTGTCCGTAATAGATAAGAGCGAGCCAAGGCAACAACAAATTCCATTGAACTTTTTTTTTCTCCTCAACTCACGATGCAAAGTGTTGTTGTCTTTTTCATGACTGTGTGTGACTTGTAACTCGCGTGCGTGTGTTTTTACTTTAATGGTGTTTGTAACTGCACTGCCATAAGGCAGTTTTGAGCACCCCTACCTTAAAGCCTAGTACTCAGTACGACGAAAACTGCTAGCTAAGCATAGGAGTAAGCGAGAGGCAAATAGGTAGCTAAAGCCTTTAGCCGGGGACTTTTTTTTTACCGCAGTACTTAGTTGAGCTAAGGAAAAAGTAAGGAAATACCAAAAAAATACTTGATTTAGCGGATGAATTTCGATGAACGCCTTTAGCCGCGGCCCAAAGAATAAAATATTTAGTTTCAATAGATTGGTCTCCCGGTGTACCGGAGACCGTGCATCGCCCTCCCGACCTTGCAGCCTGCTTGCAACATATTATTCTTTTGCAGCTTACACTTACACATTACCCGGTTCACATTTCTCCCACATAAAAATTCACTATTCCATACTCATCTTAATTTATTAAACATTAATTTGTATGTTGTCGTTTTTCGTTTTGTATATGTATAGTCTAATTCAGCATATTGTAATTGTTTTCCCTTTTTTTTAAAAAAAGTATGGGTCCCTTTTATTGTTTATAAATATCTTCGATCTAACCTACCCGTAAGAGCTCTCAGGGGGGGGATGCGGGGGACACTAGCAATGGATAGATTTAATTACACAAATTACATCACACAAAACTGCACTAACACACTTAAAGAAATTTTCGGAATAAATTGGAAATAATATAGATATATCTGGATATTTTGAATAAATAAATAAATAAATAAGGCCGAAAATGTGGAATAAATAAATAAATAAGGCCGAAATATGGAATAAATTAATAAAAACACAAATAAATAATTAAAAAATTACCGTTTTTGTATGGTATAAAAAATCCTTAAAAAAAAAAAAAAAAAAAATTACTGAAGCCTATTGTCTTCCGGTGCCGCCACTTGGGAGGCGTGTCGGTCTTCCACGATGAAAAACTATCAAGACCGGCTTATGCAACCGTCTCGCAAAAACTGAGTGCCAGGTTATGGTCACTTTTCGTGGGACTTCCGACTGGATATCTGGACTCCCAATAAAAAAATCTGAGCCAGGTCAGCCGTCGTGACCTGGCTAATCTCTTCAAGAATACACTGGGTCTGGTCGAGCCTAGAAGGAAAAGCCAATAAGCACGGCCTCACTCCTGGACGTCGACCACTTACCTCAAGGGATTTCTTGTTCCCGCTTCCCAGCTACCCTCCGGATCCTTATATTGGCACCAAAATTATGTCAATTTATTTAATTCTCACTGGCGCGCTGCTGCAACTGCGCAACCGACGATGTCGTTGCAATGAGATTTAAAATTCGTTAATTAGTTTGCACTTAAATTTTCTAAAACTTCAAAAAAAAAAGTTTGCAGCGCAGCAGCCAAAACGCCCTTCTTCGACTTTCAACTTTTTTGATCTGTCGCTCTCTTTCTCTTCGCCCAGCCATTGAGTCAGAAATCCGTTGTTTCGAATTCAAATATTCCGGGTCGTTGACCCGGGTGACCATCATCCCATGCCACATGGCTATGTCTACCGGCACTGCTTGCGGGTTTGTTAAAAACCAGTTGGCAAGACCTAACCGATTAATGGATAATCTATCGATTACCTAAAAGTGCCCACAACAACGACACTGACAAGAATTAAACTCGTTTCCATTGAACTGGCAGTGAAAAACTGGCCTAAAAGCAAATAAAGACTAAACCAGATGCTGATGGATGTCCACACAGGGCCTTATTGGATGCCTAAAGAAGCGTCCAACGAGGGAAACCGCCCACGAATCTGCCTGGGATAGACGCTCATCCGTTTTGACGCTTGCCCTGGAGGAAGATTTTTACTTGTTTACATACATATGTTCTGCGTGAGCTGCAGAACAATGCATCCTAATGGTTTCCGATTTATATTTATCTTCTCTTTCAGATTTTCATCGATGGTTGAAATTTCCTTCCTATCCTTTCGTGTTCTGCTCTTGTTCGCCTTGGTTTTCTTTGTCACTGCTTTAGGTCCTTTGCAAGTAGCACTCCTCCTGACTTTCCTCTATAGATCGATTTTACCTCCCATTCCCCAATAATAACACAGAGGGATAGAGCTATAATGTAGGCGTGTATTTCGTAGTAATTGTAAAGTGAGGTTTTGTCGGGTGATGACGTATATGTGAGTCGACACTGCTTGCTTCGGTGGTTCGGTGCTACAGGAGGGCCGAAGGCTGGACTGCTTTCTGTTGATTTGGTGCTCCGGGAGGGCCGAGTGGTGAACTGCTTGCTGTCGGGATCCGATGCTACTGAAGTTGTGTGAAGAACTGCTTGCCGTCGTTGATCCGATGCTACGGAAGCGTGTGTGATGCAATGCTTGCCGTCGTTGATCCGATGCTATGGAAGCGTGTAAGGATGTTTCTAGGCTGGGGTAGGACTCAGTCTCCCAGGATCACTCACAAAAATATTTGTATTTGGAGTACTAGGACAAAAGGGGCAGGAGAGATAAAGCTCCCGACCAACACACCGAAGGTGATAACAACGACAGGTTCCACTGCTCGGGATGTACCCTGTTTACGCCCGCCGCTGTTACCTACTCCCGTGGTTGGTGGAAATAAGCAGGGGTAGGGAGGGGATGTGGGGTAACCCTGTTTTCCACGCCGCGCCCCAACATGAAGCACAGAAAAATAAGATCACCTTATAAAGTACACGTTTTATTGACTCCAAACTATATATATATATGTACGGGCTGCCTGCCTAGCTACGCTGACCCCACTGTCCAGAATTCTCGACCGACACCGAAGGCGATAATAGCTACAGGCTCCACTGCTCGGGATATACCCTGTTTACACCCGCAGCTATCTCTTATGTCGGTGGCCGGCGAAGAAAATCTAGCAGCGGGGGGGAAAGGGGTTTTCTATGCCGGACCCTCGCTATATCCCCCGGGTCCCGTTTTCCGGGTTATGGCTTACGTGCTCCTCCGTCTCCGCGGGGATACTGGCGAGTATGTCCGTCGTCCTTCCATGGAGCTCGTCTGGGGTGCTGGTTGTCCGTCCTTCCGGGAGATTTATCGGCCGCACGCTGGGCTCGTGGGGGTTTTCACGCACTTGTCCTTGGTTTTTTTCGCGATCGATCCGTTCACTCCTGCAGTCTCGAACTTAATGCCCCAGCTCCTGTGACCTAGTTTCACATTATTCCGGCGTACGGCTGCGGTCGACGTTGGCGTCGGCAGCATTCGGCGCTGGCAGAGCTTTACTCTCCGGTGGTTGCGATCGGTTGGATGCGAGCCGCGTTTGGGTGTTTGATGACGCTCTCGCTCTCGACCGTTTGATGCTGCAGTCGACGGCGGCGTCGGCAGCATTGGGCGCTGTCGATCTTCCCAGCTTCCAGGTGGTTTGGTTCGAGCTGCTCCTGGGTGTTTGATGACGCTCTCGCTCTCGGCCGTTTGATGTTGCAGTCGACAGCGGCGTCGGCAGCATTTGCCGCTGTCGAGCTTAGCTTCCAGGCGGGGTTCGAGCCGCTCTCGGGCGTTTAAGGAGGTTTGATAGCGGCACTTGTTGCGTTCATTGGTTCGATGGTTTAGCGAGGGTGGGTTTAAAACTAATCACAAATAATTTGGCCTTCGCGGCTGGAATTTTATATGGTTAATATTTACACTATCTTACATGGCTACAACTAGAGTATCTTACATGGCTACAAAATAGGGTGTCTTACATGGCTACAAATGTCTTTTGTGAGGGTCTTTTTACGGATCCTCACAAGCGTGTGTGATGAACTGCTTGTCGTCGTTGATCCGATGCTGCGGAAGCGTGTGTGATGATCTGCTTGTCGTCGTTGATCCGATGCTGCGGAAGCGTGTGCGATGAACTGCTTGCCGTCCTTGATCCGATGCGGCGGAAGCGTGTCTGATGAACTGCTTGCCGTCGTTGATCCGATGCTGCGGGAGCGTGTGCGATGAACTGCTTGCCGTCGTTGATCCGATGCTGCGGAAGCGTGTCTGATGAACTGCTTGCCGTCGGGATCCGATGCTACGGAAGCTGAGTGAAGAACTGCTTGCCGTCGTTGATCCGATGCTGCGGAAGCGTGTGTGATGAACTGCTTCGTGGTGTGTACCATGAGGTCGCGTCGGCGCTGCGGGATGGGCCGAGTGACCGTGTTGACGAGGCAGATGGGCCGAGAGGTCGCGTTGGCGCTGCGGATGGCCGAGTGATCGCGTTGGCGCTGCGGATGGCCGAGTGTGAACTGCTTCGTCGTGCGTACGTCGTGTACGTCGGGTTCGTAGTCGTTGGGAACGATCTACTTGGGTTTCTAGTGGGTTTCGGGAATGTAGGGCATCGTTAGTTTCGATCTGCCGGGCATCGTTAGTTTCGACCTGCCGTTTCTACATCCGTTTCGTGTCCGGGTCGGGAGCCGGAAACGTGACGTCTGGGGGAACTCACTGAGGTGGGCCTGAATTACGCAAACCGGGCCGCCTCAGTGATCACGACTGGGTCTGGGCTGATTTCTAGGAAACGACACCGGGACGCCAGTGATCCTAACCAGGTCGCAGAGCCCATTTAAAACCAACTCCTACGGATCCCCCACCACTTACCCGGATCTTCCTCCTTGTAGATGTTTCCTCGATGATCGTCGGAACGCAAGTCCCTGATCTGAGGCCTTGCCTCTGATTATATAGCCGCTGTTTAGAGTGCCCAGAGCGAGTGGTTACGATAATCCCGTTTTCGATAATTAGTTATCGGGTCACGATTCTAGCGATGGCCTTCCACTATCTATATCTCTGTTGTCAGTGTGACCAGTTGTCGCTTTGGGCTTTGGGCGCGAGTTACCGCACACATTGTTGCGGCCACACCGCCGCCCCCCAAGCCTCAGCGACACAGATAAATGGTCATTAACCCATTCACTGTGTGCACAAACGCTGAGTCTGGAGACCAGCGGAAGCTAGCGGAGCCAGCCGTCTTTTCGTCACCCAGAGCCAGCCGTCTCTCCGTCACCCGAAACCAGCCGCATCGACAGCCACGCAAATATGCAAGATGTGCAAATTCCCCTCTTCCCGTTTTCCATTCCATTCTCATTCGCACTTATTTCATAAGTTAGTTCTTAGTTTCGAAGACAATAAAGAATTATTATAATTTTGACCGAAGACGAAAGAGGTTCTGATTTATTAAAACTTATCGAATATTATTGAAACACCCATTGGACTCACTCGCAATATACCTGGACACTGAAAACACCCCTGGGACTCAACCCACAGTATACCTAGATACTGTAATTGGCGCAGCCTGGTCTTGAACCTGGAGATAGAGATGCTCCAACTCCTGATCATACTATTTCTGTAAGACAGGTAAGTGTACTAATGGCAGGAAAAACAAAAGAGAACAAGAAAATGCGGAAAAACAAAATAAATTATAATTAACAACTAAATTCGTGCAAGTGTATAAGTGTGAGTGTTCAAAATGTGGCAGAATGCTAATAATAATAATAATAATAATATAATTCGTGGCCGTATATGTGCACATCATACTCTGATAAGGCACCGGGACCACGCAATTAATATATTCACCTAAAATTGTTGAAATAAAAAATGCTTAATAAGAAAATCGTGACCGAATATGTGCACATCAAACTCTGATAAGGCACCGGGATCACGTAATTAATTCACCAAAAAATTGTGTAAATAAAAATGCATAAAAAAAAAACCGTGACCGAATATGTGCACATCAAACTCTGATAAGGCACCGGGATCACGTAATTAATTCACCAAAAAATTGTGTAAATAAAAATGCATAAAAAAAAAACCGTGACCGAATATGTGCACATCAAACGCTGATAAGGCACCGGGATCACGAAATCAAAATATTCACAAAATTTTTCTCAAATAATAGAATGCATAATAAAAATCTGTGGCCGTATATGTGCACATCAAACGTTGATAAGGCACCGGGACCACAGATCTAAAAAAAAAAAATATATATATTAATAATTAAATAATTTTTTATTAAAAAAAAAAAAACAGAGATCCAAACGACACTTATTTTGACCCCACACATCAAAAAAAAAACAGCCACAATGAAGCCACACAAAGACATAACGAGCAAAACTGTTGAGACAGCAATTCAAGCGCAAATAAAAGAATTTAATAAAACGAACACACCAATTATACACTATGCAGCAAAAATCCAGTTCAAATAATTACGCCGTATTTTATTTTACCAAAATATTGTTCTCTCTTGTAGTCGCCATAAGTTCACTCACCTATAGTCATGTAATTACTTTATTAAAACAATTCACTAATCCCATATATATACACTACAATATATTAACCGAATAAACTTTAACATCGACACTCTAACAGAACACATTAATAATATAGCAGAAAGCCTTTTGGCTAGCAAATTGGGATTAATCCCAAAATTTTTATTCAACAAAGAACAAATTAATTCTATTAGGAATATGTTAAGCATTCAAAACATTAACTTACAATTAGATGAACACATCTATAACATTCTTATACCATCATGTTATACTTTCAATACCAAATTATTGTTTAACGTTAAGATACCAATATTCGATACAAAAATTTATAAATTCACTCATATTGTTCCCTTACCATTAAACAACTCACACTTCATCATTTCCCCGGAATTCCTGGCACATGCCAACAACACCTTTCACCAATTTCACGAAAGCTGTCTTAAAGTGGAGCGGGAGTTTTTCTGCGAAAAAACGCATATGGATACGGTGGCCAAAAACAACAGATGCCTGTCGGACATCGTCAAGAACGCAAAGGAAACAAAATGCGATGTGATGGACACAGAATACGAAATGAACATATTTGAAGCCGAAAAAGGTTTTATCTTTATTTTCAACGGACAAAACGTCACCCTTAAATCAACGTGCTATGACGATACACAGCTGGATGGCTCCTACATACTACGGTACAATAATTGTACAGTATGGATAAACGACGTAGAATACAGCGACAGAGAATTGATAGAACACGACCACTTTACTTTTGTACTCCCACCAGTCGACAAGATTACAAAAAATCAAACCATCAAAACACTATCGCTGGAGAAGTTACACCTAGAGACCCTATCGACAGCTGGGAAGATCACCAACATGGACAATGCAACACATTATAAATTTACAGCCGTATATTCGACAATATTACTGATCTTAGTCCTCATCGTCATCCTCCGAATATGCAATAGACCAAAGACGATCTTTTTCCCGCAACCTACACCTGTACCTACCTTTGTGGAGCCGACCATTCCTTCGCTATGGCCCTCTCTCCACTCTAGGGGGGGAGGAGTTACCGCACACATTGTTGCGGCCACACCGCCGCCCCCCAAGCCTCAGCGACACAGATAAATGGTCATTAACCCATTCACTGTGTGCACAAACGCTGAGTCTGGAGACCAGCGGAAGCTAGCGGAGCCAGCCGTCTTTTCGTCACCCAGAGCCAGCCGTCTCTCCGTCACCCGAAACCAGCCGCATCGACAGCCACGCAAATATGCAAGATGTGCAAATTCCCCTCTTCCCGTTTTCCATTCCATTCTCATTCGCACTTATTTCATAAGTTAGTTCTTAGTTTCGAAGACAATAAAGAATTATTATAATTTTGACCGAAGACGAAAGAGGTTCTGATTTATTAAAACTTATCGAATATTATTGAAACACCCATTGGACTCACTCGCAATATACCTGGACACTGAAAACACCCCTGGGACTCAACCCACAGTATACCTAGATACTGTAATTCAAGCCTCCAAGCCTCAGCGACACAGATAAATGGTCATTAACCCATTCACTGTGTGCACAAACGCTGAGTCTGGAGACCAGCGGAAGCTAGCGGAGCCAGCCGTCTTTTCGTCACCCAGAGCCAGCCGTCTCTCCGTCACCCGAAACCAGCCGCATCGACAGCCACGCAAATATGCAAGATGTGCAAATTCCCCTCTTCCCGTTTTCCATTCCATTCTCATTCGCACTTATTTCATAAGTTAGTTCTTAGTTTCGAAGACAATAAAGAATTATTATAATTTTGACCGAAGACGAAAGAGGTTCTGATTTATTAAAACTTATCGAATATTATTGAAACACCCATTGGACTCACTCGCAATATACCTGGACACTGAAAACACCCCTGGGACTCAACCCACAGTATACCTAGATACTGTAATTGGCGCAGCCTGGTCTTGAACCTGGAGATAGAGATGCTCCAACTCCTGATCATACTATTTCTGTAAGACAGGTAAGTGTACTAATGGCAGGAAAAACAAAAGAGAACAAGAAAATGCGGAAAAACAAAATAAATTATAATTAACAACTAAATTCGTGCAAGTGTATAAGTGTGAGTGTTCAAAATGTGGCAGAATGCTAATAATAATAATAATAATAATATAATTCGTGGCCGTATATGTGCACATCATACTCTGATAAGGCACCGGGACCACGCAATTAATATATTCACCTAAAATTGTTGAAATAAAAAATGCTTAATAAGAAAATCGTGACCGAATATGTGCACATCAAACTCTGATAAGGCACCGGGATCACGTAATTAATTCACCAAAAAATTGTGTAAATAAAAATGCATAAAAAAAAACCGTGACCGAATATGTGCACATCAAACTCTGATAAGGCACCGGGATCACGTAATTAATTCACCAAAAAATTGTGTAAATAAAAATGCATAAAAAAAAACCGTGACCGAATATGTGCACATCAAACGCTGATAAGGCACCGGGATCACGAAATCAAAATATTCACAAAATTTTTCTCAAATAATAGAATGCATAATAAAAATCTGTGGCCGTATATGTGCACATCAAACGTTGATAAGGCACCGGGACCACAGATCTAAAAAAAAAAAAATATATATATTAATAATTAAATAATTTTTTATTTAAAAAAAAAAAAAAAAAAAACAGAGATCCAAACGACACTTATTTTGACCCCACACATCAAAAAAAAAACAGCCACAATGAAGCCACACAAAGACATAACGAGCAAAACTGTTGAGACAGCAATTCAAGCGCAAATAAAAGAATTTAATAAAACGAACACACCAATTATACACTATGCAGCAAAAATCCAGTTCAAATAATTACGCCGTATTTTATTTTACCAAAATATTGTTCTCTCTTGTAGTCGCCATAAGTTCACTCACCTATAGTCATGTAATTACTTTATTAAAACAATTCACTAATCCCATATATATACACTACAATATATTAACCGAATAAACTTTAACATCGACACTCTAACAGAACACATTAATAATATAGCAGAAAGCCTTTTGGCTAGCAAATTGGGATTAATCCCAAAATTTTTATTCAACAAAGAACAAATTAATTCTATTAGGAATATGTTAAGCATTCAAAACATTAACTTACAATTAGATGAACACATCTATAACATTCTTATACCATCATGTTATACTTTCAATACCAAATTATTGTTTAACGTTAAGATACCAATATTCGATACAAAAATTTATAAATTCACTCATATTGTTCCCTTACCATTAAACAACTCACACTTCATCATTTCCCCGGAATTCCTGGCACATGCCAACAACACCTTTCACCAATTTCACGAAAGCTGTCTTAAAGTGGAGCGGGAGTTTTTCTGCGAAAAAACGCATATGGATACGGTGGCCAAAAACAACAGATGCCTGTCGGACATCGTCAAGAACGCAAAGGAAACAAAATGCGATGTGATGGACACAGAATACGAAATGAACATATTTGAAGCCGAAAAAGGTTTTATCTTTATTTTCAACGGACAAAACGTCACCCTTAAATCAACGTGCTATGACGATACACAGCTGGATGGCTCCTACATACTACGGTACAATAATTGTACAGTATGGATAAACGACGTAGAATACAGCGACAGAGAATTGATAGAACACGACCACTTTACTTTTGTACTCCCACCAGTCGACAAGATTACAAAAAATCAAACCATCAAAACACTATCGCTGGAGAAGTTACACCTAGAGACCCTATCGACAGCTGGGAAGATCACCAACATGGACAATGCAACACATTATAAATTTACAGCCGTATATTCGACAATATTACTGATCTTAGTCCTCATCGTCATCCTCCGAATATGCAATAGACCAAAGACGATCTTTTTCCCGCAACCTACACCTGTACCTACCTTTGTGGAGCCGACCATTCCTTCGCTATGGCCCTCTCTCCACTCTAGGGGGGGAGGAGTTACCGCACACATTGTTGCGGCCACACCGCCGCCCCCCAAGCCTCAGCGACACAGATAAATGGTCATTAACCCATTCACTGTGTGCACAAACGCTGAGTCTGGAGACCAGCGGAAGCTAGCGGAGCCAGCCGTCTTTTCGTCACCCAGAGCCAGCCGTCTCTCCGTCACCCGAAACCAGCCGCATCGACAGCCACGCAAATATGCAAGATGTGCAAATTCCCCTCTTCCCGTTTTCCATTCCATTCTCATTCGCACTTATTTCATAAGTTAGTTCTTAGTTTCGAAGACAATAAAGAATTATTATAATTTTGACCGAAGACGAAAGAGGTTCTGATTTATTAAAACTTATCGAATATTATTGAAACACCCATTGGACTCACTCGCAATATACCTGGACACTGAAAACACCCCTGGGACTCAACCCACAGTATACCTAGATACTGTAATTCGCGCGTTTGAAAAGACGCGCGCGGGTTGCATTTAGTTGTTGTGACGATGGGTCGTCACAACCTCGTACATATTGTTTCCGATCGGTCTGCGGATCCTACACTTCAGAAACTTCCGAGCAAATTTTGCGTTGAAATTCTTGATAAAATCGCTCAAAACAAAGTTTCTTCGGAAGACCTCTTGTCCTGGCTTGAACTTTACCTCTCGCGTCCTCCGGTTGAAGTATCGTGCGCTAGACTCGTGTGCTTTATGCAAGTTTTCGCGGATCGTGTCTCTCAGCAATGCAAATCTATCTTCCTGACGTAGGTTCCTTATCTCACTGTCCTCCAAAGACTGCAGCTTCCTTGCCAGTTGATAATCGACCCCACTTGTGTACATGTGCTGTCCAAACAGTGCGAAATACGGTGAAACCCCTGTAGACTGATGGATCGCGCTTCTCAGAGCTGCTTCGATCTCCGGCAGGAACAAATCCCAGTTGCGATGATCCTCCTCCAAGTATGCTCGAATCGCGTTAATCACGGACTGATTCACTCTTTCAGCAGCGTTTGACGAAGGAGAATAAATCGCTGTTCTCGTGTGTCTGATTTGGTAGCTCTGGGTCATTTCCACAAACTTCTTCGCCACGAATTGCTTGCCTTTATCTGAATGGATTACCTCCGGGACTCCAAATGTGTTGAAAACTTCCTTAGTCAGGAATTTAATTACCGCAGCAGTCGAGGCCTCCATCATTGCCTATATAAACACAAACTTCGAGAAATGATCCACTACTACAAAGATATAGGCGTGCCCACCCTTCGACCTGGGGTATTTTCCCAGCAAATCTATATAAATTTTCTGGAACGGGCGATACGTAACCGTTTCTTTTCCGATGGTCGTGGTCCCTTATTAGTGGATCTCGTCTCCGCGCATACTTTACAATCCCTCACAAACTTACGGACTTGAGCCACCATTCCACCATATCCCTCCTTGAGCTTTTGTATGAGGCGAATGTGCTTGCTCGATCATCATCGGAGTCAATAAGCATCGGCACCCATAGCTTCCAGCTATGCTCTTCGAGCTCGGGACTACCACACGCCTGATTCCGTTTGAATATGAAACCATCCACCACTTTTATATCCGGCAATTGCTCCTTGTTGGACTCCATGTCTTTTCGTAACTCCACGTAGTCCTCCGATTCGAACTCAGTAGCTTCAAATCCCAGTAGCCACTCGATGGATGATTTCAAAATCAAACGCTTGCAACTTCAGCGACCATCTTGCCAGCCTGCCACTCAGGTCCTTAAGTGACATCAGCCATTTCAGGCTTGAGTGGTCAGTAATCACCGTGAACGGCATCATTTCGATGTAGGGTCTGAACCGTTTTATCGCTAACACCGCTGCATAGCACTCCTTCTCCGTCACGCTATAGTTCCGCTGGCAAGAATTGAGCTTCTGGGAAAAGAAAGCTATTGGGCGTTCGCCTTCCTCATCCTTTTCTTGAAAGAGAACAGCTCCTACTCCATAATCAGAAGCATCGCATTGGACGAAAAATCTCCTGCCTAAGTCCGGGTGTCGCAAAACAGGTGCAGTCATGAGCGCTTCCTGCAACCGCCTCATAGCTTCTGTGGCCTCCTTGGTCATCTCAAACTTTTTTCCCTTTTTAAGTGTATCTGTCAGCGGGGCTGCCATTTCTGCAAAGTTTTGGACGAACCTCCGATACCAACCGGCTGTTCCTAGGAATCGTCTTACCTCTTTTGCACTTCTGGGAATGGGCATGTTTTTGATAGCTTCTACCTTGCCAAGATAAGTTTTCAGACCCCTCCGCCAATAACGAAACCCAAATACCGCAGCTCCTTGAAGCAGAAATGCGACTTCTTGAGTCCTATAGTCAAACCCGCTTCCTTAAGGCACTGGGAAACTTCCCTCAGAGTGACCAAGTGCTCTTCAAACGTTGGAGACACTATCAGCAAGTCATCCAGATAAAGGAACACCTTTTCCCTTAGTTTTTGCGGTATCACCTTGTCCATCAGCCGACAAAGGCGCTGAGCGGCATTGGTGAGACCAAAAGGCAGCACGACAAAGTGATACAGAGGGCGTCCTGGCACAGTGAAGGCTGTATATCTCCGGCTGCTTTCTTCCATTTCGATTTGCCAGAAAGCATGCTTGAGGTCGACGCTAGATATAAATTTGGTCGTGTTTATCCTGCTCAAATTCCCTCTATATATCCGCAGCAGAACGGATATGCATCCTTGACGGTCCTCTGATTGAGCTCCCTAGCATCCAAACATAGGCGATTTTTTCCTGGCTTCCTTACTAATGTAATTGTATTACTCCACGGACTGTCGCTCTCTTCTATGACCCCTAAGCCGAGCATCTCATCGATTTCCTCATATATCAGCTGTGCTACGTCGAAGCTTTTCCAAAAGTCCACTCCCAGATGTAGTTCTTGCTCCAATGTCGGACACAGGAATAGTTCCATGTTCACTGTGGTATTCTTGAACGTGATGGGCACCGTGATTCTTCCCAGAATATTCTGTGTAGATCCGCTTGCTGTTCTCTCTTTTGCGTGGAATGGTCTCCATGAGATTTTCAGCTTACTGACCAACTCTCTACATCCTTTTCCCAGTACACTCAGTGACGCTCCCGAGTCCTGTAATCCTCTTACCGCGCATCCCGCCACTTGGACTACCGCATATGGACGGGGATCTTTATTGGCGTTCCCCTGCGATCCGATTGCCGTCACTGTTTGTTGTAGTTTGCGCCTGTCTTGTTTACGTCTTTTAAACCGCTCCCTGGCCTTCTTGACCCTCATCGTGATCACCCTCATCCCAGCCAGCTGATTCTCACCAAACAAACGATCCCGTACTTCCTTATATCGCCGTACTCTCTCCTGTAGGGACATATAAACCTTGTAACTTGGATTTTCCTGGCCTGAATCGTTCGTTTCTGGAATCCTTTTCGCTATACTCAGTTTGGTAGTCGTTCCTCCATCTCCGCGGACTCCCTCATGGAACGCTGATTACCCGCTGACCCTGCGTTCCGAAAAGCGTTTCCCTGTTTACAATTGGGACATTGCGGCGTTAGCGTGTCTGCCAATCCACACTTGTAGCAGAACTGGCTCACTTTCGCGACGCCGCACTGTTTGAAGAGGTGACCCGGCTTTCGACAGTTCCAACATATCAATGCTTTCTTGACCGCTCCCGTATAGACGGCTTCAATGGGATAATCTTGGTGTTCCACAGAGTCCTGGTTCCTTTGGTCCAATGGCAAGTCTCGAATCTCGTCGACTATTCCAATCCTAGTCTCTGGTCTTGGCCGAGGTACCGTAGAGACTCGGTCGTACCGCCTTCCATATTCTGGACTAAATGCCCTTTCCGCTTCCTTGCATTCTTCCAGCAAGTGCTCCAGCGTAAAGACTAGAACCGGATATACCCATTGCTTGACTGGCTCCGCTAGGTTCCTTTTTATAGTCCGAATTATCCAGTCCTGATCTACCGTGTTGTAACTCTGCTTCCGCTCCGCAATCTCCTGGATACGGTCATAGTCGCTCCGTTTGTCGCCGAAGCGACTCTCCATGGCCTGTCGCAACTCCACCCAAGACTTTGGCGGTCTGGTACGGATTAACAACCAGTACCATTCCGACGCATCCTCCGTTAACAGTCGATGGAAATCCCTCATTAGCTCCGGCCACGGCATTGCATATTGCTGCTGCAAATGCTCGACCCTAAAAAGGAAATCTTCGACGTTCATGCCCACACGATTGCCAGAGAAGCCGAAGCCCCATTTGTACATCGGCGCATATTGACGATGAAAGTTTGCGGATCGCCCATCTTGTAATTCTGGCTGGATACCCCTGTACTGACCATATCTAAACTGGACTCCTGGATCGGCACTTTGTGATCTGGCCTGGCTGCATTGTCCAAGTCCCGGATTGTTGGCCCTGTGTTGGCGCGAATCCTAGGTTTCTTGCGCAGTTTGGCCTTCCTTGTGGACGCATATGGGACAAAAGAGTGAAATTCTGCGCGACGTTTTGCTTAAAATTCTGCCAAGAGTTTCTCGCTGTATAGTCCTGACCATTCCTGTTGACTTCGTCGACCCTCTGTCCCTGATTCTGCCTTGATTGTACCTGGCCTGCCTCTACTCGTTCACCACCTGGTGGCCCGTTCTTCCTGTTGCATTCCGCACCCAGGTTTCCTTTGGAGCACCCCAGCGGAGCGCCTGAACCGGTTGACGACGTCGTTGAAGCTGCATCCCTAAGGTCCAACTTCTTCATCAAGTCCGCGAATCCGGCCCGCATGCATTGATCGATCCGAACATCCATGAGGTGTGTCATATCCACCTTAATCTGTTCCTGGGATGCCTGGATCATACCCTGGAATTCTTTACGACTTTGGGATCGGTGTGCTTCGGCGTTCTCCAGGCTGTACTGCTCCTGGATAGGATCTAGCTGAACATGTGAGAAGGTCGCAAGCGGAGTGGCTGATGGGTCCAGATTCAGACTCCTTGGAATGACTCCCCTTTGTTGAAAACTGAATCGGCTCCCTTCTGTCCCTGGCATCAATCCTACAGCTCCTAGCTCTGCCTGGTTCGCCTCTCCGTTGTCTTCACCCGCCATGTTCAACAGAAAAAGGATTTATGTATGCGACAAATCGAGTTATTCCGGATATAGAGAGCGCAAATTAAAGCTATTAAAAATTCAAATAATTCGTCGGATTTCCAATCAAATTCAATGTGTAATGGGGGAAAAAAGTTCCCCGAATTTTAAGTGACGTGTGTGTGACTAGATATTTATTGTTACCATAACAAAACATTGCTGCCTGGTTTCGTCAACTACCAAAATCATCAATTTTGATTGACGATTTGTAGTTAAGAAATGCCAGAAAACATATAACATAAAACTAATTAATTTCTTTTCCTCCAGCCGGACTCATCCTGTGTCGTCCAAGATGCCACTCACTACCACATTGTCGACAGTCGAGGTCATCCTGAACTTCCATCTGATCGCTACAAAGGACTTAAACTAATTCGCCTCCGGTCGTCAGATGTCACAGGGTTTTTTGGACTCTCAGAAAAGCAAAAATTAGTATTAATTTTACTTTAATTTTTATTTATTCAAAGAATTGTTTGCCCCCTTTTATCTAATTATATTTATAATGTATATATATATTAATATCTATCTATAACAAGATGCAATGTATGTGTATGTAGATTTACTAACCGTCCGTACGTATATGTTCTGCTTACTGTCCTTTTTGTCAACCGCGCGTATTCCACAATCTTAAATTGTTTGCATAATGTCGCTGCTGACTTTCCCCCTTTTCGCTGATCGCGATATGCCAGTCTTAATCCATCTGACATAGTCGTCGGCTATGTCTGATTAATTTATTCCTAATACTTAAAATTTATATTCTATATCTATACTTTATTATGGCTATATCACAGACTTATATCACATATGGTTTATGATTCTTTACATATATCACAGTTCGCAGGTCAACTCTTTTATCAATTTGAGTTGGCGTCGTCCTTGTGTTTTAAGAACATATACCTTAAATGATATAGGCTTGTCCGCCACTTAAACATTTTTGATTTTAGGGCCTTCTATTAGAGAACAATCTCTCGAGCAACTGCTCCCCTCTTAACTAGACCCACTAACCAGAAATATCCTTTTCTCCTCGTGGAGATTAATGTGTTGCTATTCAAATTGGGCGCCATACTGTTATGATCCTGTTTAAGGACCTGTGTGGTTTTCGGGCTGTTCGCCGGCTAGCTCAAGTCTGGGCCGTGAGTCCCCGAACCCTTGTTATGTAAACCCACATAACAATAAATATAACGCTGACCCTTTAACAGAAAATCAACGTTACACAACACAGTAAACTGCACGTCTACATTCAAATTCAAATTAAAAAAAAAAAACAACAAAACCTCTCGCAATACATACAACCCTAGTCAAAAGTATTTTCACAAATTTGAATGTTAACTGTACTCATATTTTGAACTTATAATATAAACATTTTGGCACCTATGGAAAGAGCACTTCAATTCCGTTTTAATGACACAAAAATTTTCTTAACCCATTAAGCACCCTTTGAAAAGTGGGCAAATTAGACAATTTTTTTTTAAGTAAAATTTTCAACTTTTTCTCTTGGGCTTAAAACAAAAATGTTTTGATGCAAAGTTGTTCCCCAATCATAATTAATAATAACTGCAAAAAAAAAATTTCAAAATATTTTTCCTTGTATTTTTTATGATTTTTTGAAAATAGCTATTTTTGCCGCTTTTTCTTCCTTTTCATACAAAATTTTACTGAGAGGTCTCCATTCAAAAAAACATAATAAATATAAGGAAAAATATTTTGAACATTTTTTTTTTGCAGTTATTATTAATTTTGATTGGGGAACAACTTTGCATCAAAACATTTTTGTTTTAAGCCCCAGGAAAAAAGTTGAAAATTTGACTTTCGCAAAATTTGCTCACTTTTCAAAGGGGTCTTGATGGGTTAAGAAAATTTTTGTGTCATTTAAACGGAATTGAAGTGCTCTTTCTATAGGTGCCAAAAGTTTATATTATAAGTACAAAATATAAGTACAGTTAACATTAACATTTGTGAAAATACTTTTGACCACCCCTGTATATTTAGTTTCAATAGATTGGTCTCCTGGTGTACCGGAGACCGTGCATCGCCCTCCCGACCTTGCAGCCTGCTTGCAACATATTATTCTTTTGCAGCTGCCCCTAACTAATTCACACACACACAATTCTCTTACACATTACCCGGTTCACATTTCCCCCACATAAAAAATCACTATTCCATACTCACCTTAATTTATTAAACATTAATTTATATGTTGTCGTTTTTCATTTTGTATATTTATAGTAGGGTGGGTCGATTTGGAGGTCAACAAATCGTAGAATACGTTCCCTTCTATAGACTATTCTAAGCAACATTGCCAAAGAAACTATGCCTTGGAAACCACGTTTAACCCTCCGCATTTGCAAGAGAACAATACTGGTTTTTTGATGAAAAATATCTCAGTAGCCTTGACTTTGGAACATTTGTATGGACGCGAAAAAAGATATAAATCGTTTGGGCGGAACATAATCAATGGACCATTCTAAGACATTGGCCAAGAAACTATAT